TAAGTAATTCATTAGAAGATAAGATCAAGAAAACTTGCATAAGAAGAATTAATACAACAGTACAATACCAATTCCACTAAGGTGAAGAATGCATTGTACGACCAAAGGAATTTGTCTCCCGCAATCTCATGCTACCGTTATGGCAGCTGGCAAGTGAAAGTGACATTTTGTACTATCCAACGGTAGCCTATATAAATGGAACTATTTCATTGAAGAAGTTGACGAGGTTTGAAGGAGAAGAAATATTGAAACAACAAAAAGAGAAGTTATAGTGAAAAGAAATCATCAAGTGAGAAATATTATTCCAAGTGAAGACAAAAAGAGTTGTTGCTCATATTTTTATTAACATTTATCCTCCATCATTGTTGTATACATAAGATTTTTTGCTCATATTTATGTGTAAACATTTGTTCTTTATTGTAGTGTTAAATCTGCTTTTCTAGAAGCACTATTGTAAACACTTTTGATTGTACAACTTTTGAGATTTGTTTTACTCAAGTGACTAAATGATAGTCTGTATACTTGAGAGGGCTAAGGTTTTTTCTAACTCTTAGATGATGGTAATCTTTTGAGAATTTTTTCCTCAAGTGACTAGGTGATAGTTTGTATACTTGAGAGGGCTAAGGTGTTTTTTCTAAACTCTTAGACGTTTGTTGTAATATTTCAAGATTAGTGGATTAACTCCTTTTTGAAGGAAAAATCACCTTGGCGGATGGACAAGAGTAGCCTTGTTTAAGGTGAACTTGTATAAATCAATTGTGTCACTTTTCTTTTTTAGCCTATCTAACTTGATTGTTTGTGAGAAGCATTTCTAAAACAAAAAGTTTTTGAAAATCCAATTCAAACCCCCCTTTCTTGTATTTTTCTCGACCTTCATTCTTCAGTTTGATTGTGCTAAGGTTGTTTTAGCCAAAAAAAATTCAAAGGGGAGATTGTTATATCCATGATTTTATAATTGGCATAAATTTTTCTAAAACATGGTTCATAGCTGATGTTGAGCAAGATGTCATGATATCTTGACCAACTATCATGACAGGTTTTGTTGTCATAAATATCAGACAGATGTTGAGCAAGATGTGTTGACATCCTGACCAACTGTCATGATAGGTACTGCTGTCATGTATCTTAGACAGGTACTGCTGTCATGTATCTTAGATAGATGTTGAGCCAGATGTCTTGACACCTTGGCCAATTGTACAACATGTGTTGCTGTTATTTTCTTGATAGACGTTCTGACAGATGTTGTGACATGTTATACCAGAACATCAGTACAGTTCTGCATTTTGAATCCTTGAAGATTTGATTTTAAAATATGAGTTTCTGAATGATTTTAATTCTCATATGGTCGCAGCTAAGCAATGATTTTTTAGGAACATTGCAGATTTGATTTTTTTTCATAAAAAGGATCTTGGAGACTTTTTAGGAAAATTTGAAGATTTATTCCTATTTTTATGGAGAAGATTTTGCAGAATATTTTGCAGCTACTGTTTTGGATACGCATTTTATTAAAATTAAGAGCCCAAGCCCATGCATATCATAAAGTTATTTAAAGTATGTTTTTAAACCTAATTTTGCAACTAAGTCGTGTATTAAAAGAAGAATTTTAGGGTTTAGTGTGTTCTTTGTTATTTGTGATCCACTCTGTAGTAGAGTTGGATTGTGTTTATTGTGAGTCATTCTATTATCACTTTGATATTAGAATTCGACTTTGTTTTAATTGTTCACTGTTAAATCATGAGCTTTTAAACAAAGAGTGAATTGTGTATAATTGGAAGTGTGTTCTTAAGTTTTTGTTATTATCATTGAGGTGATTGTGGTAAGTGAGAGGGGGATCTTATATCTAGAAGGTTTCTATGTACAAGTAGCATAAGATAGTGATTAGGTGATGAGTTATAAATTAGGGTTGTTTAGATTTGAATTAATATTGTCATAGTGGATTTCCTTCCTGACTTGAATTCCCCCAGAGTAGGTGAGTTACACCGAACTGGGTTAACAATTGATTGTGTTTTTTACCTTCTGCATAATTTATTGTTTTGGTAAAATTATCATGTCAGTAGATGATGTATTAACATATGTCTTGATATTGTGTTTTGGTGTTGGGACATTAGTCTTGACATCTATTTGAAAGTGCCAGAATTTTCAATCAGTTTATTATCATCTACATACGTGACCATAAACCACAACATGCAAGCGGATTTTGTAGAGAGGTGGCACTCAAAGATGTCATCTTTCCACCTACATATAGGAGGGATGACCATCATTATGGATAATGTCTCATGCCTATTACATATTCCCATCAGGGGAAGTTACTAGACCATAAGAGGATCGGGCGAGAGGAAGGGGTTGATCTGATGGTCATATTATTGGGGGTCGGCCCTGGTAAGGCATCGGAAGAGGAAGCTCGCACTAGAGGTGTTCCTGAATGGTTTAGATTTTTCGAATAGCTTTTTAATAATTATGTGAAAGGGGCTATGAATGCTAATGGTGATGATGTGCAGGTTGAATACCACGACCATTGAGGTGTTACCTCTTGTTCTTAGTTGGCACGTCCATGTTTGTAGACAAAAGTGCATCATATATCGATGTGGTATATCTCAAGTATTTCATAGACCTCACTGTGATTCACGAGTACAACTGGGGAGCCTGTTTGGTTTACGTGTACGCAAAGTTAGGCGAGGGTTGTCTTTAGTTTACGTGATTCGAGGGAAGCGGTTGACGGGGTGCCGCATGTTATTTACGATAATTTCTTGTTACGAATATTATCATAATTCATTTGTTACACTTGTTACTAATATTGTATCTGAAATATTTTCAGGGGTGGATCATCTCCCACTTCCCTCGAATCATCGGGTGGGAAGTTGCGCCTAAATACACAAAGGACTGGCCACGTGCAGCTGCTTTTGTTCCGTATAGGGGGGATGGTGTGGTTGAGCCATTCAGAATCTCTTTTGACTGTATGGTACCAGATGTTGTTTTCTTTTGCCCATACAAAGGTTACCTCCAAACGCGTTAGGTTGACGTCATTTCCTTATACAGTAGATGGCTGGAATGTGGATCATCTCTTATATATCCCTATTTTCCTGAGCGAGTGGTGCACCAGTTTAGCTACTCGCTGATTATTTTGAGACCTCCCCATGAGTCTGCTCCTCCCACTGTCCCCCGCAAAGACCTACAGTCGATACTTGATAATTTCGAGAGTCACTTGGTACTAGAAGAGTATCGTCGGGAGCCAACTCATGTACATTGGGTTTGTGCTAAGGGCTGCCTTCCATGGCTCTATAGGGTGTCACAGCCTACCATGATGTCAGACGCTCTTGGAGAGCCATCTAGGCCAGTTAACCTTGAGATACTTGAGGTTCGAGATGAGCAGGCAAAGAGAGTGACGACGGTATGTTGGCATATTGCGGAGATGGGTAGGGAAGTCATAGAGTCTGGACTCTTTGAGGATAGTCTCAATTGGCCCTCGTGGAGACCATGGTTGCCAAGTTACGGAATGTTGTGCAGTACAGACAACAGAGAAGGCATGCGGTTAGACATGCACAGTAGCTTATATTGGGATGTATTTATTTTTATTGGTATTTTCGGATGTATTTTTAGACTCCTAATATGTATGAATCTTCTTGACCTTTTTTTTATTAATGTATGAATTTCACTCTTTTAACTTTGATTTTACGTTAATATAATTTGCCTCACAAAAATCAAATGTTTGAACAATGGTGTTGATCAACGAGGGTTCCGAAGATGCATCTCCGAAATAGTTTTCCTTTGTATTTATCACGCTTTCAGAAATTTTCAAGGGACATTTCGGAGATACATCTCATAATACATTCAAGGCAAAATATCTTTTTTGGTCCCGTATGTTAACGTCAAGGTTCATTTTGGTCTCTTAACTTAAAAGGTTCATATTGGTCCCTTAACTCTTCAAAACACTTCATCTTAGTCCTTTTTGTTTAATTAACGACGAATTTAGCGACCAATTTCTAAGTTTTTCTGTCGCTAATTAGACAAAAGGAGTCAAATGAAGCGCTTTGAAGAGTTAAGGGACCAATATGAACTTTTTTAAAGTTAAGAGACTAAAATGAACCTTGACTTTAACATACAGAGCCAAAAAAAATATTTTGCCTACACTCAAATACCTTTAAGAGATACATCTCTAGACTATATTTTATTCAAAATTATGGTGGATCTCAAAATAGCACATTTTAATTGTGATTTAGGTGCGTTCAGAAATACATTTCCGAACTCATAAATGACAGTAATAAATTTTCAATAGTATAGTATGCTTATATAAAGGTCTATTGAACAATTCCCAAGTTCAATCTCATACCACAACATAACAAACATCTATAGAATTATATGTTCATTCTCACACCGAAATATCAATATACCTCTACAACTTTTTATTTTTGCTGTACTTATAGAACAATTAACTAACTTTCTTTAATGTACTTGTGGAAGAATTAACCAACTGTTTTTAATGTCCTTAAATTAGTCAAAAGAGTTTCTTAATATAAAAAGACTACCTACATCGCAATGAATGAAGTCATGTATTTACAATGAAATAAGTTACATTTAGCTAATCAGCTCAAAATTCTCACCACTCCATAAAAAAATTGAATACACTTAGATTTTCATGTATCCGTTTGTAACTTTGTAGACAAAAAGAATAAGTGAACATCCCTATTGTTATGATAAAGTTTGAGTGCTACCAACACAGCTTCAAACAGCCTCTTGTAACCTCAACATACCAAAATTATATTTAGAATTAGACACTATAATGACTGAGGGTTGATGTGTATAAATCCATATTGGCACCTAAACTCATCCATATAATTGATCCCAAGCTCACATCCTCCTTGATTGTTCCTGCATTTTCAACCATGACAGCTGGAACATGCTCAACTGCCATGGTTGTTGAATGAGAGCCCAAGTGGCTATTAGCATCCTCCAGTTTGGAAGCACCATTATGAAGCGTTTCACAATGCTTCAGATGCTTCCATTTATGAGGTGGTGTCTAAGGGTGGGGGATCCACATCCATACCATTGTTATTCTTGCAAATATCTTCATTAATCTCATAAAAAACAGCACCATTTTTGGAAGCTGAAATCCCACTTCCTATAGTGATTAAACCTGTCGTTTTTTTCTCTAGTAATGCATTATTATTTGAAACAGTCTCATCAACATCCATGTCCGCATGACCGGTGATATCACTCACTCCACATGCAGCACCCCGGGATAAAATATCTTTGATGACTTGCCTCTCACAAACTAAGGCTTCATCTTGGGCAGCTGAAGCTACCCTAGAGTTCAGCCGATGGATATCAATATCGACTCGCTTCTCATTAGATCCCCTGGCAGTCTGGATACTATCTTTATCAAGTAGTGTATTTAACTGCTTCTGAACTGAAACTGCCAACGACACAGCATGATCACGAATTAAAGAATCAAAAGGTGGGCAACGCAGCATGTTATTTAGCACCTGATGGTACTGCAATAAGCTGATGGATGGTGGAACAGACCCTCGATTTCGGCAGATTCTAAAAACTTTCAAGATATGCTCACACATGTTGCCATCCTTTGCCCAATCACAGTCGCAGATGCTCAACATTGAACCAGTGTTCCATACAATATAAGCTTTATCTTGGTCATGCTCATCTTTAACCTTAGCACACCCATCTTCCATTATGACATCGGCATCTGGAATCTTCAGTGCTTTGCGCCATGATGTCAAACCACTCATCCATTCGTTTTTCCAATATCGTGCAAAATCATCTTTATCTGAGCACTCATCAAGCCAATAATAAGAATGGACTTTTGTACCTATCTTGTCAACCAACCAATCAGCACGCTGATAAACATTGATGTCTTTCTCATTCAACAACCTGATCTTCAGTTGGTTGTGGTAATATTCCATTGCTGCACAAGACTCTTGGCTAGCAAGAGGAAGAGTTCTAAGGGCATCAACCCATGCTCCTACACCAAAGGGAAAGAATAAGTCTAGTGTGCATAACATGATGACATTGAATGAACATAATACTCATGAAATATTATTATATAGGCTGTGCAATGAAAACGGAGTAGTCACACTAGTAGTTAACAAATTAACAAAACAGACCGGGGGATATACTACTATTTCTCAATTTTATAAGAAAAGGGTAACATTCCAGTATCTAGAAAGATATTACCAAGTTACTAACCCATTCTAGGATACCAAGTGGCCTTGAAATACTCCATAAAATTGGGTTCATCAATGAAGTCCTCTACAAAATCTTCAAATAGTGACATGGTTCCCTGGCGACGGAAAATATTATCCATTATCCACCCAAGCCGTTTGGATATTTTTATTTGCATATCAGTTTCCAAACACTTAATTATGTTTCTATGCCATAAATGTCGAACTCGCCAGAAGCTTATCAATACTGAGCACTGAAACACGTCCCTGAGAAATAAATAGAATATAAATACTTGTCAATTAATACTTGTAACAAATTGAATTCCTTTAAGTGATACAGAAAAACACAGTCTCAGTTCCGAATGCCAAATAGATTGCTATATTAAAATGTGAACCAATCATCAGCATTGTCAAAGAAGCAAACAAGGCAACACATATCTCATATAGCCAGATCAAGGACAAAACTATATTTTTTATCCAATCCACCCATCTGTTGCACTCAGAAATGTATAGTTTTGGCACAACTTCTTAATAATTAGCCACAAGGGGATAAATGAAATGGGTGATTTTGGGTATGACAAAAAACGAGAGCTCGAGAAGAAGTTACTAAATAATCTGGACCAATAAGAATCTTTATTTAAAATATTAAGTACGCTCCGTTTCAACCAACTCATTGCACATAATTTATATTTTATAAACAGAACACCGATCATTAATGAAACTATCGACTTTAATAGATATATTGAACCCACCTGATTGCTAGGACATCATAATGTGGGTCGTCTACTATGAAGCCAGCCAGCTTCCAATGAGGATCTTTAGTATGAACTCTATTATACAGAGCCCTCATCCATCGATGTGCATCCAAACATGAAAACCTTGGTGTTATTATCCAAGCAACGGGAATAGCCTTCTTCTCTGAGTTGAATACTAGAAGACTATGAACGGGGTACTGCATAAAATCATGAATGCGATTGACGTTAGTTTCGTTGAAACTCAATGAAAACAATATATTTCTGGTTATTTAGAATCAAGTGAGAAAATTGCCAACAGACCTTTAATTTATTTGTACCAAATCTTGAATCAGATGCGAGAAGAGCACAGTTCCCAAACCTAATCATTTGTTGCAATTGCCACTCCGTTTGAATGCCCAAAATAAATGGATCAGACTCAGAGAAATCTTCATAGAAGAAAACATTATTCTGGTGGCTTCCAACCCACTTGTCAATACTAACTGAATCATCAGCATCTAGCTCATAACTAGAACGGCGTATTTCCCTCTCTTGTCTTCGAACATAACGCTGAGACAAAAGGTCATCACGGTTACTTGGACCACCTTGTTTCTCTACTGATTCATTGTGCCTCTGCATAATGGTCTCCACTGACACTCCAACATATAGAAGAGATAAAACCCGTAGTCTGAGATCTTCTGAAATATATGGAGCAAACTCAGCAATTGTTCCAGCCGCCTTTTTATCCTGTGGACCATGGCACGGCACACCCTTTTTATCAACATGCTTATCATCGTTATATATAATCAAAGCAACCGAAGGTTCAGCTATAAGGCGTTTCACAATAAAGTGACAAGTGCAACCACGTTTGGTATTTGGTCGACCAGCATTTTTCTTCTTTGGAACATACGTACTACGACTTGGTCTAACAATTCCACCTTTTCTATGGTCATCCGGACCAAAGGAACACCAATACCTACATGAAGATTGAATAAAAATCTAAACTTGAAAGGAATACAAAATATATATTGTTTCTAGATTGGAGCACTTAGAATTGATTCTGGATAAGTAAAATTGATTTTGAAATGTTTGGTTGCTCTCAAGTAGAATTGATTCTACTATCTAGAACTGATTCTACTTGAAGCTAGGATTTATAGTTTTTAAGTGTAAACGTGATTATAACATTGAAACTTACAGTTCAACTCACTTTTGCAATTTATTTATACATAAATCACTTGAACTTCAACTCACTTTAAGCCAGAATCAATTTCGTAATCAATTCACTTGGAATCAATTATTTCACCGCGGAATCAAACAAGAGTGTTTAGAACTTACAAAATATACTCTAGTATGCCATCAACCTTTTGCTTGAAAGTCGGAGGGCGACGACGTCTAGCTTCAACATGAAATCTTGTAGGACATTCTTTATTATTAGATTCACCTCTAACAAAATCAGCAACTCTAGCAAAAGGGATTATAGCAACTCTATCTAATTTATCATGCCAGCCTTCCACTTTGGACCAAACTAGGTCATCGGAAGAAATTTCCAAGGAGGGAGGATTTTGTACTGGAAGAGATAGGATTGCATCCCATCTGGCCATAATCGATGAACGCTAAATCAAAAAATTTCCTGTGATAGATGGTTAAGTACTCTAATTAACGTTCGTTGTTCAAACTATGAAAAAATATTCTGAAGAAAACAGTGAGTTTTGAGAGAATAATGGGAGTAAGTAAGTACCTGTGTTAACGGTGCGGCGGCGATTGGGAGCGGAAAGTAGCAGATTGCGGCGGAGGGGTTAAAAGGGGGCTGGGAGGGGAATCAATGTTGCTTCTTTGCTTCATTCATTTGAAAACAAACAAAATGAAAATGTGATTTTTTTTTTCATCAGCTATTTTTTCTTTTCTGACTCAAGTGAGAACTCTTTTTTACAGAAACTCTAGTAAAGGAGTACTAAATACGAGGAATATTCATCTCACCTCATATGTGTCTTAGACCCTATCAACTTGTTTATAGTATCGAAATTAGGGAATTTTGGAGATGAATGATATTTTAGGATTGAGATTGAGAAAGTATTTATATTTAGTGGATTTTTTTACTCTCATTATATTGTTTAACTTTTATATTTTATATTTTATATAATTTTATATAAAAAAATATTAATGTATTAGAAAATAAAAAGTCATTAATCATTTTATTTTTATTTTATTGTATAATGTATTGTGTACATAGAATGTACACATGGTCTTCTCCTTTTCTTTTCTCAATTATATTTGTCTCTTTCATTCATCATCTCCCTTATTCTCATCGTCATCACAACAACCACTCTCCTTTATTCATTTTACTTATGATAATTACTCTTCAATTCACTTTATTTTCATTAGTAATATGTTTTTCATTCAATTAAAAAATTAGTATATATGAATTTGCCAGAAGCACACATAATCAACCACGTGTGGTAGACGACATTGGTATTGTGGTAGTTAATTAACAGAAGTATTTTTTGACTAAAATCGACATTCATTTATAAATTGATAGAATACATCGAATAATACAAATTCAAAATCAGTATAAATTAAAAAGGATGAATCTGCGAACAAGCTCACAACACTGACGTTAATAGCATATAACGGTAAAATGCCTACAAATGTGATAAATCCTACAAATATGACGAAATTGAAATGCTCGGAATACTCTTGTCTCTGAGTCTGCAGCGTTGATGATGTCAAAGTCATTGGTTGAATATGCACTGAGTCGAATCTAATATGTCAATTTGAATCGAACAAACACCAGACCAAGATGGAAAAATAAAATATTGTCGCAATAAGACAACGACCAACACAAAGTCGCACTAAGACAACGAAATCACGAAGAAAAAAAACTAAAAATGTATATGATATTTGAATGAAAAGGAAAGGAAAAAAATCATATGGGTGATTTTGGATCAAAAATTGACCCTAAAACCACTCCCTCTTTAGTGGATGAAGAACAAGACAAAACTAGGGTTGAAGAAAGAAGAGAGGTGGCTATACTATCTAGCGAAAGCATGCTAGCAACAAGTTGTGTTAATATTTATTTATTTTTATAGAAAAAATATTAGTAACAACAAGTGCTTTTGATTTTTTTTGTTATTAATGCATGATGTATTTTTATTTAAAAAAAAGATGCCAAATATATGTGTTTTTTAAAATTAAAAAAAAGGAAAAGATAATAAAATACTGGTGTCATAGTTTTGATAGAAATGTATAAAAAAATTAATATTCGATCTTCGTGAATCTCAGTGGGGATCTGTGGAGATGGGGATGGGGGGAAATATTCCCCCGTAGTGGAGATTGGGGACGAGGATAGGGAATATATTTGGGGGGAGTGGGGAAGCATGCTCTAAACCTTCACTGCCTCATTGACATCTCTACTCACATGTTTGAAAATACAAAATTTCTTTATTGATGTTTGGATATGCATCTCTCTCTAGATGTATCTAAAATCACACAAACATTCGTAATTTATCTATACACCGCATTTTATGTTCAGAGATGCATATTGATAAGTGTCAATTTGTAGTTATTTTTATATATAATTTTGTGGCGCTTATCGACTCTTTTTCCTCAACTTTTGTGTGAATTCGTACATATTGTGTATATTTGTACACATTGTATATAATTGCATTTTTGTGTAATTAGTATATCATTTGATAGATTTTCTTCTATTTTGTAGGTATTGGTGCATGTATAGAGCATTGAGCAATAAAGTGTCGAAGGCACAACTTCAATTACTCGATTTTGGAAGAAAATAATGACTAAGTCCGCTAAGCCCATCTTCAAGCACGCTACCAGAAGTTTTCCAAGAGCATGAGCTGAGTTTCTGAGCCCGCTAAGCATGTGAAGCCCACTTAGCGCGGTTTAGGCAGTTTAACGTGTAAAATTAGAGGCAGTCTGCTTTGTGCGGTCTGTTGTTTTCAGTTTTGTACAAATAGAAATTCTTTCATTTTTAGGTTTATATTTTGGGTAGTTTTTTATCCCAATTCATCACCAGCCATTCTTTTGTAGAGATAAGCTAGAAAACAACAATGGAGCTTGCTTATGGATGATCCGGATTAGGAGTTCTCATCAATCGGAGCTGACAATCCGTGAGATGTTTGGTTCTTCTTCATTCTTCTCTATGTATTTCTCTATTTGTTGAGTTTCATTTGTATTTTACTCTGAACCTATGTATATTTGTTGATTATGATGTTGTATAAAATCTGATTTACAAATCAATCTTGATGTCTTCCTTAATCTTTTTGCTCTATGTTTGGATTTGTGTTGTTATAGACATATACCTCACAAATTCTGATTAGGGATGAATATCTATTAATTTCTAGATGTTAAAGATATATTTAGAGCTAATATTCACTGTGGGTATTAAAGCTTAATGCCTCTGTGTTGTTTGTGTTACGCAAGATGTCACCGATGCGGGTAATACAGTTGTTCTTGCAACTTTACGTTGGATATAACCTTTGTTGTAGTGCATCTCATAGGTGTTTCAGAAATGGACACTGATGTGAGAGATACATGATGATTTTGACGAGTATTGTAGGTTGAGTACAACTGATCGATATGTTTAAGTTTGTGACGAGTAATTTAAATTCAGGCCTGATAAGTTTCTCCTCGCTTAAGAATGAATTCATTTTCTTGTTCATGTGTTTTTACTTTTAAACCAATATAACACAAGCTCAGAAACTTGGAAAATGTTGAACGATATTCTTTCCCTCGCACTGATCCCTGTGGAGACGATAAATTTCTCAGAAAAATACTTCCTTTCTTTTGCTCTTACCGCTTTATTGCAGTTCCAACACATATCCGTAAATTGTTCCGAATGAATATGTAGATACATCTTATATTTTAGAGATGCATCTCTAAAAACACTCCTAAATGCATTCTAGATAGAAACATTGTTCTAACTTTAATTTTTTAGGTCAACTTATATTTTAGGTCATTTTAGGCTAATTTTTATCATAAAACTATTTGAGAGTGTCATAAATTGATTCAAACATACAATATATACATTAAAAACTCGTACATTAATTAAATTAAAGTCAAAATATATTGATCATACATAATTTGTTAGGCCAACTTATATTTTAGGCCAATTTTTATCACAACTATTTGAGAGTGTCATAAATTGATTCAAACACACAATATATACATTAAAAAACTCGTACATTAGTTAAATTAAAGTTAAAATGCATCGACCATACATAATTTGTTCTGAAAATACAAAAAAAATACAAACAAACATAAACTATTAGGTATGTCTAGCTCCTCGAGTTCTCCTCCGCATGTACTATAAGGAATTTTGTGTCTGGGCAATAATGTCTTCTACGAAGGCCAACCAGGAACTTCCTTTCTCAAAAAGTTCAGCATTTATGCCCGATCTCACCATATCCATAATATGCTGACAAATTGGCAACGCTTCTGTTGAAGCAGTAAAGTGGCAGCAAAAAGTAAGTATTTATTTAGTTTTATCATATCGTCTCCACAGGAATTAGTGGTTATCAAGTCGTCGTTCGATAAGTATCGCGTTATTGAGTTTGGGTTTGAATGGTTTAAAGAAAACGCGAGAATTAAATTATATGTGTCGTACCCCAAATTTTCCCTACTTATTTTACTTTTGTCTGGCTTTGGACTTTGTATTCCATTTGCACCATTTTCTCTCAGTCGTTTGCATATCCTGCATCTCATGGAATCAGGCGCTTTAGTTTGAGGTATTAGGGTTGCGCCCTCTTTATGTCTAATTTTGTTTTGGAGTTCTCTTATCAGGTAAAAGGGAAATGCATCTGGTTCTCGATTAGTGGATTGTAGAATGAATGTTGTCATCATGTTGCAAGGTTGATTCTCGCTCGAATTTATCAAAGCCCAGATTAGGGTTTATTTCCCTGTTTGTTGGCCAAGATGCTAGGGTTTTGGGATCCCTAGTTCCTGTGAAGATGTTTCTTTCGTCTGACTCAAAGATGGCTCAAAGTTCGGGGAGTTCCTCTCCTCTCATTTCAAGCTTTCTTCTTAAAAGTCTCCAAGTCACTGATTCGAGGGTTTGAAGTTTAAGTTGACGACTGTGGAGTTTGGGCACAAGAAATAAGCTTGGGGGTTCATGACCGTCAAGACATGTTTTGGTTGCTTAAGTTACAAGTTACTTGTGATGTGAGTCTCAAAGTTAAAGTTCTGTTTAAGAGTGCAAGTTTGGTTCAGGCGTGATATGAAGATTAAGGTTGGAGTGACTGTTGTTTTGGGTTCGAATTAACCAAAGGGAATTAAATTCTTAAGCATTCATTTTGTGCAAGAGTTTGATTGGAGTCTGGAAGATAAGGCGCATGATTGTTTGGAATACAAGTTACAACATTTGCTTGTGATTTCTTGAAATTCAAGTTACAAAGGCAAGATGGATATTCAAATCATTCAAGTAAGAATTTCAAAGTTCAAACAAAATTCAAGAGTTGTTTAATTTTTTTTACAAAGAATTCATCATTCACACGATTTAAAGAAATATCATTCAAAGTACATTTTTTGTGAACAATTTAACAAAAGGGATTACAGTGTGAAATACAAACTACAATTATTTTGTTTACAA